GAGGGAAAGAAAGAAGGAGAGCAGGAAAGGAGAAGAGAAGAGATTGGATTTATACCCCACCCTTCACTACCCAAGGGAATCTCAGAGCGGCTTACAAACTCCTTTCACTTCCCCTCCCCACAACAGACACCCTGTGGGTAGGTGGGGCTGAGGGAGCTCTGACAGAAACTGCTTTTTTTCAAGAACATCTCTGACAGAACTATGGCTTGCCCAAGGTCATCCAGCAGGTGCAAGTGAAGGAGTGGGGAATAAAACCCGGTTCTCCCAGATTAGAGTCCATGCACTTAACCACTACACCAGACTGGCTCAGAAGGGAAAGAAAGTGAGAAGGAAATAAGGAGGGGAAGAGGGAAAGAAAGGGAAAGAAAGGAGAGAAGGAAATAAGGAGGGAAAGAAGGCGATAAGGAAAGGAGGGAAAGAAAGAGAGAAGGGGGAAGGGAGAGAAAGAAGGAAAGAGGGAAAGCAAAAGAAAGAAAGAGAAGGAAGGAGAGAAGGAAAGGAGGGAAAGAAAGAGAGAAGAAAAAAGGAGGGAAAGAGGAAAAGAAAGAGAGAGAAGGAAAGAAGAAAAAGGGAGAGAAACAGAGAGAAGGAAAGAAGCCCCAACACCCGCAGCCACCCCTTTCCATTCTCTCTTGAGAAAGAGGAGGGAGAGGGGTGGCTGCGGGCCACGCGCCCAATCTCCACTTGGAGATCAGGCGGGCAGGGGCCTCCAGCTCCCCGCACTTAAAGGGACTCGCTTTAAGTGCAGGGAGCCAGCGGGAAAGGGCCCCCCATCATGGCCCCACTACCCCACAGTCCTCCATCCCAATCAAGCCCCCGCCACCCCTGTGACCCTCCCCATCAAGCTGCTGCCGCTTCCCCCACACACATGCACCAGCAAGGCCCCGGTCGCCTTTAGCGGGTGGGCTGGGGAAACCCACCTTGCTTCTTTTTGCTCCGGTGGCCTGACTGTGGGCTGCTGGAAGCAGGGGGCGTGGCCAAGCCGGATCGCAGCCGGAACACTGTTCCGGTGCGTTCTGGCCCAAAAATAGCTCTGCCTTTAGTCACCATGGCTAGTAGCCACTGACGGGCCTATCCTCCATGACTATGTCTAACCCCCTTTAAAGCCATCTATGCCTATATCCTCTGGCAGCGAATGCCACATTTTAATCACTTGCTGTGTAAAGAAGTATATCTTATTTTCTGTCCTGAGTCTACTGCCCATTAGCTTCATTGGATGCCCTCAAGTTCTAGGATTTTGGGAGACGGAGAAAAAGTGGTCTTTGTCAACTCTCTCAACCCCGTGCATAATTCTGTAAACCTCTGTCATGTCCCCTCTTAGCTTTTTCTTTTCTAAACTAAAAAGTCCCATACTCTTCAGCCTTTCCTCATAGGGAAGGGGCTCTTGCCCCCTAGTCATCTTGGTTGCCCGCTTCTGTACTTTTTCCACCTCTGTGATGTCCTTTTTGAGATAAGGTGACCAGAACTGCACATGAGGCCACACCATAGATCTGTACAGGGGCAGTATGATTTTGGCCATTTTATCTTGAATCCCTATGTTTTCTTCTTTTGTTTTCTTTGTACCTTCCAGTCCTGCCAGGACCTGTGGGTCTCTATCGCCTGGTACTGTGGGTTTCCACCCCCATCGCCATCACCAAGAGTCTCATCAGCCTCATCCACTTGATCTGTGCCTCATGCAATATGGCAGCTTTGGACGCAGCCGAACGTGCAAAGAGGAAATAGTGTTTTAGAGGTGGCGGTGCAGGGGAAGGAGCGTCATTTCCCCTCCTCAAGCTTCCACTGGAATCAGCAGCCAATCCTCCCCAAGCCGGGATGGGGTTTTGCCTCAGATCAGCTACTCCAGTTGTGCTGCAGTTCTTGATTGCCGCAACGCCTCCCCTTCCCCCCCAAATCCTCACACAGCCCCCGCCCTGCAATGATGCTTTGTGAGATGACGGTATGGATCCTATTCTTCCTGCTTCCTTCATTTCCAGACTGCTTTATCCTCTCTAGAACATCAGCCGATGGGGAGGACTTTACCTCAGTTGTGATCTGATGGGAGAGAAATTTGATCCACCATTTTGCGAGCAGCTAAATTAAAGGCTGTCTGGGCCTTGTGGTTTTATTCCTTACACACCACAGGTGTGTCTTCACTGGTAGAACAAAATTCACTTGTGAGAGTAGCCCTGTTGATTCCTGCCCTAGTTGCATGTTTTCCAGGGACATGTAGAAGTAACCCTTCAAGCAGGAATCCCTATCTTTTGAAGAATTCTACCAAATATATCCGTACCTAGGCAGAGAATGGATCAGCCATTTCCTTTTGAATATCCTAATGAGAGCTTGAAAATTAATATTATACAACTTTATAAGCTGGCCTTACTTGTGGCTTCCGCAGAAGGTCCCGTATTTCATGGCGCGCTATCCTGGGATTATATCTGGCATTTTAGTTTAACCATTGGGCATCCACTTTCAAGGAGTGGCCTAGATGGGGCTCTCTCACAGTATTTTCCACACCGCAAAAATGCTTGACATACAGGTGCCATGTGGAAGCAGCTCCTTGGGATTCTGTTCCCGATCCACATTTCTTCCCACAATGCTTTGCCTTCAGAATGTCTGTTATATTACCTTGTCTGTCACCTTTGCCTGTGTTTGCTGCACAGCTGAGGGATTCTCCGAGGGAGTGGAGAAGAAACCATTTTGCGATGGCAGTACTGAGTCTTATTCTCACGGCTTCGCCACGCTTCCCATGCGTTTATGCGCGATTTCAGGCTGACCTTGGTTGAAACCTGCTGATTTCCTCTGCCCCTCCCCCCATAATCATGTGTTTACACTTTCTAAGGCATGCACTAGGACTTGGTTGTGAGGTAAATGCTGGCTGTTGTTGGCAGCCATCTTGTTTACTGTAATTTCCCCATCTCTATTGGAAGTAAAGCTTTGCCTGCCCTGAAACTTCTTGGGGGCAGGGGCCAGATGTGGCTCACCTTTCTGTCTGTCTCATTTATGATCTGGGGGTCTCCAGCTGAGGATAGGCAACTCCCGGGAGCTTTTGGGGGCAGGGCAATGTGTTACTTGGCCCCGTAACATCACTTCCGATTGTATAACTGGAAGTGACTTCACGTGTTGCCACTTCTGGTTCTGTGGCCCAGTTTTGGCCCCCCAGTTTCTCCTGGTGTGTTGGGCAGCAGTGGAGCTGTACCAGGAGACCAGGTCCCCCTACTGGGTCTACAGTAGCTCGTAGAGATGGGGGAGGGTCACTCTAGGCCCATAGGATCCTTTACTCTTTTCCTGATCATTTAGACAGTAGGTTAAGTTGCCATATTGCTTCATACGCTTATTTCCCTTATCTGATCTTTCTTTTACCAGTGATGGCTAGGTTTACAGTGACATGGTGGCCATCTTGGATCTACCCATGCCTTTTCAATCCCCCCCCCGAAGTTAATTCTTCATATTCGCCATAAGACTACTTGTCAGATAGTGGGAGAGAAGAATGGACAGTGAGAGCAGGATTGGGCAGCCATGTTGGAAGAGGCAGGTTTGGAGGCATTTGAGACTTGGCAGCCGTACCGGAGGGATCATCCTTGTATATTGAGCCAAATGAGCTGTCTTTGCCACATAGGAGTGGGGTGGGACCACACCCACACCCGTCTAGCTGGGTTATTTGTTCGTCCTTGCTTCCTTTGAATGTCCCACACTGTCTCCTTTGGGGGGGGGGGAGGATCAGTGTTCACAATATCACTGCCACACCCTCACAGCCCCAAATTGTATGTAATTTGTATGTGTTTTATATATATATATATATAAAAACAGACGTTGTGCAATAAGAGGCTTTCTCTCAAGAGGGAGAGTTGCTAAAAATAAAAACCGTGTGATCATCTGTATATCTGCATTTGGCTGTCTTTGAAAGGCTTTGATAGAAAGATGTGGAAGAATAGCCAGGATGTGGGTGGGAGCTGAAAACGGCTGGAAGCTCATGATTTAACTACAGCCTAAGAGTCTGTCAGGGAAGACGGTGGTGGTTTCCACATTGTGGCTGTGGCTGCCAATGTAGCCCAGCAACATCAGGGCTTCCACAGGACAGGTTTCCCTGCAGTTTTCCTATCAGACCCCTGTCTCTAGGCCACCAGGTGTTTTTCAAATGGGCAACTGACTATTGTTATATCAATATAACATTATAATGCCCTGACCTGGATAGGCCAGGCAAGCCTAAAAATCTCAAAAGCTAAACAGGGCCGACCCTGGCAAGTACTTGGAAGGGAGACCTCCAAGGAATGCCAGAACTGGGACACAGAGGCAGGTAATAGTAAACCAGCTCTCTGAAACGTCCAAGCTCCATTAGGAGTTGCCAGATGTCAACCATGACTTCCAGGCATACACACACACACACACAAAATACAAAAATAGGAAAGAATAGAACATTATAATTACATGTATCAGGTTATCTGAATTCATGGCTTTCATTTTTTAAAAAGTCTCTAGTGACAAGCCCCTTTCATTGTTGAAACATCTTTCGGGTATGTTGTAGGGCTATCTTTCGGCTATGCTCCTGCAGAGTGCAGGGGGTTGGACTAGATGACCTGCAAGTTCCCTTCCAACTCTAACATTCTGTGATTCTATGAGATGCTTTTCCCCTTATATCTTTGCAAGGAAAAGGTCTAGAAGTTTACTTTAAAAAAGAAAACAGCTGTGAATGGTATGCTGGTACACATTGCTATAATGGTATATCAATATAATGATATGCAATTGCTGATTAAAAAAAAAAAAACGCCCTCCGGGGGGAGAAATGGTCACCATGGGCACAGGGTCATGGAAAATGGCTGCCATGTGGGCAGGGAAAGCCAAACTTTCCCACGCACACAGCAGCCATCCAGGCCTTACTGCAATCTTTCCCAAAACTTGGCAGCAAAGGGAGTTGGAGAGAAGCCAAGGAAACCCTGGGAGGTACACAAATGCACACAGTGATGCCGCAGGGAAAGCAGGAAAGAAAATTGCCCAACAACATCAAGCCCTGTGTCACGCTACCTCTCTTTTCATGTGTGTGATGTGGTTTTACATTTCTTGTAGTTTCTTTTTCTCAAGGTATGTAACACTGCCACCAGGAATTTAATTCCAGTCTTATGAATTAACCTTTCCCACACTATTGTGCCCAAGCTCTAAGGCTCCTTCATTGAACTGTGTGATCCTGAGGATAAGACTCTTATATTTTAAAAAGCATATAACTAACAATAAACAAGATAAAACTTTATTTGCATGACAAGCGTATTGGTTCCAAAATGTTTTGTAACTTGTCTCTTCAATGAATAAAACAATGTATGTTAATAACTTCCAACCAGTGTTCCCTCTAAGCTGAGTTAGTGTGAGCTACCTCGCAGTTTCTCAGGAATGATGGCGCCAGAACAAACTAATTTATGCAGTAGCCAAATTGCTTGCTCATAACTTTAATGCCAGTAGCTCACAAGGTAGAATTTCTGCTCACAAGACTCCACAACTTAGAAGGAGCATTGCTCTGGAGCCATCCTCCCTAAGCTAAGACAAAAATGTGTGAGCCAGAGGCTAAAAAACTGTGAGCTAGCTCACACTAACTCAGCTTAGAGGGAACACTCCTTCCAACTGAGGAGCACACTCAATCACTCCTCTTCCTTCTCTTCAGAATGTACCTTCTGCAGTCTTTATTATATGTTGCTCAGTTAAATCTTTCCTTTTTAAACTCAGGTTTCTGTCAAATTTTTCATCTCACACTCTTATAATACGCTGACAATATTAGATTTTAACTCTCTCTAGTCACTAGTATGCCCCCTAAAGTATTTTATTTTCTCCATTAGAATCACAGCACTAATATGGGATTCTAATTAGAAGACTGCTTTTAAGACTCTGTAGACTGACCACAGGAGCTGCGGTGGCTCAAGTGGTTAAGACGCTGAAATGCAGGCTGTGGAAGCAGTTCGAGACCCGGGTGCTGCATGATGGAGTGAGCTCCCATCTCTAGTTCCAGCTCCTGCCAACCTAGCAGTTTGAAAGCAAGAAATTGCAAGTAGATAAATAGGTACCACTTCGGTGGGAAGGTAACAGCATTCCGTGCGCCTTGGTGTTTAGTCATGCTGGCCACATGACCACAGAAACGTCTTCGGACAGCGCTGGCTCTTCGGCTTTGAAACGGAGATGAGCACCGCAGCCCTAGAGTCGGATTCGACTGGCTTTCGAGCAAGACCTTTAGACTGACCACAGGAGCTGCGGTGGCTCAAGTGGTTGTGGAAGGTCGGTAGTTCAGCAGTTAGAGACCCGGGTGTGCCGCATGACGGAGTGAGCCCCCATCTCTGGTTCCAGCTCCTGCCAACCTAGCAGTTCGAAAGCAAGAAATTGCAAGGAGATAAATAGGTACCACTTCGGTGGGAAGGTAACAGCAGTTCGAGACCTGGGTGCTGCATGATGGAGTGAGCTCCCATCTCTGGTTCCAGCTCCTGCCAACCTAGCAGTTCGAAAGCAAGAAATTGCAAGTAGATAAATAGGTACCACTTCGGTGGGAAGGTAACAGCGTTCCGTGCGCCTTGGTGTTTAGTCATGCCGGCCACATGACCACGGAAATGTCTTTGGACAGTGCTGGCTCTTCGGCTTTGAAACGGAGATGAGCATCGCAACCCTAGAGTCGGATTCGACTGGCTTTCGAGCAAGGGAACCTTTACCTTTACTTTAGACTGACCACAACTGGCAGTTAGCTGCTGACTGAACACAGTGCCTTCCCTCTCTCCACTCACAGACTTCTTAGCTCCGCCCATACACTCTCAGTCACCTCATTCACTCATCTTCCTCTTTCACCCCCCTTGTTCTTCTGAAACTTACCAACCATTTGAAGGGACGCACACTTATAACTTGAAATCATTACACGCTGGCCAAAAAACCCGTGTGGAAATGTCCAATATGATCAAGCCCCACTGTAGCAGGGTTTGAGTGCTTCAGGCCTGGATTCTACACCACGGAGACACTGGGTAGCAAGTAGCAAGTCAATTTCTCTGATTATTATGCAGTCATTTTCATGTTACTAAATCGGGATGCTTCTGCATTTTTGGCCTAGTTCGTACAAACAGTGGATGAAGGCAGGGAATTTTCCCCGGACTGTACCCTTTCTGATATCAGGTGTGAGATTCTCTCGTTAAACGTTGGAAGGGAAGGGCAATAACTTTACACCTAAAAGTTGGGAGGTGTTTTTTTAAATAGCAAAGAAGAATTCAGGTTTAGCCTTCTTCTGACCATTGTAGCTTCACAAATGCAGGGAGTTCTTAAAAGTGTAAGCATTATCACGTGTGAGTCCCTCACCCACAAGTGGTATAGGCCAGAAACAGCTTTATTACCCCCACTGTCAAAAATTTAACGATACTGAGAGATGAGGCAGAGACGTAAGCGGGACTGAACTGAGGAAAAAAGTCTCCATTGCACACGTAGGGCTGCCAGGTCCCTTCTGGCCACTGGCAGGAGATGGAGGAGTGTAGAGTTGCCAGCTCCAGTGTGGGCAATTCCTGGAGATTTGGGGATGGCGCCTGGGGAAGGGAGGGACTTCAGTGGAGTACAATGCCACAGAGCCCACCTCCCAAGCATCCGTTTTCTCCAGAAGAGCTGCAGTCTGGAGATGAGCTGTATTTCGGGGGGATACCCAGGTCCCACCTGAAGCCTGGCCCCTCTCTGCACACTCCAGGTCACCAGTTTGTGACTTGCATTCCAAGGGGACTATGGAAACTAGATTATTGTACACTGCCTTGAACGAAGCAGAAGTGTGGGATATAAATGTTTTCAGGGCCGGCCCCAGCTTATTTTGCACCCTAGGCGGGGATCCCTTCTGGCGCCCCCCCCCCCCCACCGGCGCGCCCACCAATTTTCAAAAATAAATGCATTTTAGGAAGAATGAAAAACACAAATAATCAAGAAACTCCCAGAGTACGGGGCCGGGTGCAGTTTGGTGCCCCTAAGGGCCGGCCCGCTCTAGGCGATCGCCTAGTCCGCCTAGTGAGTGAGCCGGCCCTGAATCTTTTAATAAAGAAAAGTATCTCTGGGTGGGTAGGGTGTACTCTTAAAGACAGCCAGTGACCTGTGAATGATCCAAGTCAGTCTGTAAGGGGGCAGAGCTGACTGCACTATCACCAATGGGTTTTGAATACTGTTGGGGATATACTGGAGATCTGATCCATGGGGCACAGGGTTATCCTTTCTGAACAAACCTCACTTTAAAGGGGAACTACATTAAAGGGGAGAGTGCACTTTAAAGGGGAGCGGCTTTAAAGGGGAGAGTGCATTAATTAACCTAGGGACAAATCCACTAGAGAGATCTCCTGTATAAATCCATTAGTGCTGTAGGCTGACAAGAGTGCAAACACACACACAAAAACCCACCCAAACAGCCTTGCAGTCAGTGATGATGCTGCAGCTCCTGGGCCAGAAACTGCCCAGTGTTGTTGCCCCCTTAGTAGGGAGCTCCAGATTTTTTGAGCCTATCGGCAATTTTGGAATTCAGATAAGGGGTGGTGGGCACAACCACAAAATGGCTGCAGCAGGAGGCACAGAGGAAGCCCAGGTGCAGGTTAGAAGAAAGTTAAAAAAAAAAAAACACTGGGAAAGAGGAGCGAAAGAATAAAACCAGCCGCGTAGTGGCAGCCTTTGCTGACACAATGCTCTTTCAGTCTGCCCAGCCAACTTGATCTCCAGTGGCCAGTCAAAAGCCCTGCTGGGCGAGTGCCCCACCCACTTTTAAAACACACTTGGTGGGCACCAGGAAAGGTATTGACAGGCAGCAAGCATGATGCCCACGGGCACCACATGAGGGACCCTTGCTCCAGAATGTCATACCAGAACCCTCATGTATATCACAAGAGGTGGA